GCGCCAGTGTCCCCTCCACTGGAGAAGGGGACGCACTAAGGGCACCGGCTGCCCAGGAGCCTCTTCCACCCCAGGCACCTGCCTTGGGGAGTGCCTGTACCCAGTTAAGGGCAAGGAAACGCTGCAGCCCAGCTGTGACCGAGCAGAAGGGTTCAGTGAGGGACAGCCAGGAGCAGCAAGCACGTGGCCCTGGTGGACCAGACACGCAGTGCCTGCAGGACTCAACCAGTCCCTCCCAGCACGCACCAGCACTATACTCAGGGGGAGGAGGGCAGCATGACCCTCAGCCCCGAGTATAGTCCTGCACCGCTCCCAGGACTCCGGTGCTCTGTGCTCCACCCCAGCCCTGGCTGCCAAGGAACGGGCGCTGGAGCCCACGGCACACAAGCTGCCCTAGATTATAGGGTTTCTCACGCAGGAATGGCTCTGGGCAGTGGGGATCCGCAAAGCGGCACCCTCCCAATGCAGGGGTACACTGCTCTGCCCATCACGTGCATGGACACTCCAGGGTACAAGACAAGCTATTTTGGGACAGCCTCAGATCTGGCACACTGTATCTAGCAGGAGAGCAAGCGAACACAATCTGCTCCAATGGGGCATGGTGCAAACAGACAGAAGCAGCACAGCCTCGCCATCACGCTGCTCCTGCGCTGCCACGGGATGGCCAGAAATCCGGGCACAGCCTCTTACGACAGTCACTGACATTTTTCCAGCACAAGCCACACAACAGCTTGCAGAAGTGCCAGCAGCCTAAGTCCAGACTGTCCTGTTTTCCCCTCAGTGACTGCGGCATGCCCAAGGCCACACTGACATGCCAGAGTAACATGAAGGAAAGTACTTAACCAGCTTTGTCTGGACCTCAGGGTGCCTTGGGACGACAGCAGCGGCTCAAGGAAGGTGGGTTAGAACACAAGCCTCCCTCCCATCTGAAATATTTCAAAGGTGTCTGCACCCTGTTCTTTGCTTTGAAGGATGGCAAAAAAACCAGGACAGGCTGTAGCAGAGACACAGCACCCAAAAGTAGTAATAAACACTCTATTT